ATGTGGTTAGACATGGACCGCAAGGAAGCTGTTCCAGGACCAGAGCACATCAACATTCACATAGTCAATGCGATCAAATCTGAAGAGGACTGCAATGAGATAATGGAGGTTCAAGGGACAGTCAAGGGAGAATCACTTGGAGAAACAGGGATGGTGGACGTAAAACAGGCAAACTGCTTTGCTTTCAGCACCAGCGGCTCACCCAGCGAGATGGAGACAGGGCTTCACGACAGGCAGCGCCAGATCGTCCAGTGGAACCTGAAACAGCCTGGGGTTGTGGAGCCCCATGCTGACTCTGCAAAATGAGACCGAGAAACGATGGCAGGACTTTGCATCAGCTGCTAAAATGAATGATGCAACACTCAGCTGCTTCTATGAACACAAAGAAATAAACCTGCAGAACATTGTGATGTAACGGCAGCTGAAGATGATGATGCACTACAGCTGGAACGCTTTGGAGGTTAAAAATGACTTCCAGCTGATGAAGGACACCTAGCATGAAGCCTCGGATTTAACACTTTGATCACTCTATACGGTTGCCAAATGTAGTCACATTTTTTGTCTGGGCATTTTTACCAGTTTTAAATATGCTGGTGAAGATTCTCAGTCATCCAGGTCATAGTCATCCCCAAAAAAAATGAAAATTAAAAACAATCCACTGGACTTTGTATCCAAGTTTGAAGAAGTTTTACTTCCCATTCAGGAAACTTTTTAAATTAAAAATCTCAGGAACAGTGTTAAGTTTGAGGTTTTATACAGTAGCCCAACAAAGCCTTGTTTTTGTTTTGAAAACATACACATTAAAACGGGAATCCTTAGTGCATCCTAAGGACAAAACCTGAGACCAAATATGAGCGGAGTGGTGTGTGCAGTTCAGTGCAGTGAGGAATGCTCAGATATTTATATTGGAGAAACCAAACAACCTCTCCACAGACGCTTTGCCCAACACAGAAGAGCGACCTCCTCGGGACAAGACTCTGAGGTACATCTACACCTTATGGACAAAGAATTTTCTTTTGAGGACCAGAATGTTTTCTATTTGAACAAAGAAAATAGGTGGTTTGAGAGGGACGTGAAGGAAGCCATCTATGTTAAGAAAGAAAAACCAACCTTAAACAGAGGAGGTGGACTCAGATTTGTAGTTTTCAAAAACCTACAATACAGCAATTGAGTTAATGCCTTCCCGCTCTCATTGCAGCCCCACCCCCTATACAGGAGAGTGGAGGACCTCGCTTAGTCAGCCAGGCCAACAATTCCCTTTAACGACCCACCTTTCAGAGACATAGACAGGTATGGGTCATTGCAGGCTAGAAAAAGAAGCTAAACGACCCCCATTCCAAAAGGGTGGACCCCTTCGTCTGTTTTTATCTGCATGTTTTCAAAACAAAAACAAGGCTTTGTTGGGCTACCGTATAAAACCTCGAACTCAACGCTGTTCCTGACATTTTGAATTGAAAAAGCTTTTGGATGGGAAACAAAACGTCTTCAAACTTGGAAGCAAATTCCAGTGGATCTTTTTTAATTATCTTATTTTGGAATAACCTGTTTTTTTAATGTCACTTTTTTAAAGCTTTCCAATTTTGTTTTGTTTTTTTGTCAACTGTATGAGATACAGTTAGTTTAACCACAGAAAGGATGTCAGATTATTATTATTATTATTTTTTTTTTTTGACTCATTATCAAGATCTGTCTAACCTCATTTTATTTTATTTTACGACTGACGGATTGTCTTAGGTCTCACCATTAAGGAGTTAGAAAGAAGACATCAACATTACAGTAGCACACTAAGACAGTAACTGTGTTTCCAAAAGCAAAAAGCTTTTCTGTGTGTGGAAAAAACTAGGTTTATATATAAAGCTGTTACACAGAAATAGTTATAGACTTTTCCAGACTTTTATCTCCCTGAAATAGGTATACATCTCTGTTTGTGTGGATTTTAATGACAAAAAAAATCATGTTTGAGGCTTCAGTGTTTTCAGCATCAAAAGCAAAAAACAGATCAATATTATTAATTTAATTTTCTGAATATTGTCCTTACATTAGATGAAGTCATAAATCCACATAATCAAGAGTTAGCCATTTTTTTTTAAATAATAAAACAAAATGGGATGTAGTGTTTTTTTTTTTTTAACAACACATAAAAAAACATTTAGACTGCATGATCTCCACTGTGATTCATCTCTAGGGGGAAAATAATATTTTACTTTTTCTGTTTCAGATTCAGATGCAGATTTGTTATTGTCTCTCTCCTAATATATTCCTGTTATTGTTAGAGTTTAGATGAATGTTTATGTTATCTGCTATTTAAAACCACTGTGGTTAAGCACAATAATTAATGTTTAAAAGAGATATTTTTTTCAGCTGTTGAAATGTATTGATGTTGTTGTTTTTAGACGTTTGCACACTTCTTTTCAAACCAAACTAAAGACACGAGTCTTGATTGAGTCAGTTTCCCATTGATTATTTTTGGATGTTTATTAGTGGTTTTTGTTTTTTAAAAGACAAAACTCTCATTGTGACTTTCACACATCATTTAGTGGTGCAAAAAGTTCAGTAATCCCCTCAAGAGAAGTTTATTTTTTCTTTTCTTAAAATATTACTGATTCTCTCATCCTCTTTTATTTATTAATTTTATTAATTGGATTTTTAATATTGCAAGCTTGTGTTATTGACCAAATTCTGTAGATCATAACGACTTATACTTTTCTATTAAGTTTCCATGTAAAGTGAATAATAATGACTGTTCCAATTTTTGTAGATATTTGTTTAGAACTCAGTATGTTTTGAAAATTAGTCCATCAGAGGTGGATTTATTAGATAAATCTGCAGAATCTAATTGAAGCCTTCTAATCTCCTTAAAGTTGTCTTTTTATTTCACCTTTAGCTTAATTCAAAGAAGATCAAGTCATAAAGAAAGAAAAAAAAAAACTGAAATGGCCCCTAAAATCAAAATTGGGACCTCCAAATTCAAGGTTTGGTCCCAAACCACAACCTTGGTTGCCATGGGAATAAAACATGGCATCAGCAGTAATAAAATATTTATCTACCATTTTTACACAGCTTTGAAAAGTACAGGAAGCACAGGAAGAAATCTACATTGCTAATAACTGTTGATTTTTCCTGCTAACTGGACCTACTCTTCATTTGGTGCAGCAGTAAGCAAATCTAACCTCTTTTCCAATTTAATTCAGTTTATTCATATAGCGCCAATTCACACATTGATACATCATCCCAAAGCATTAATTGCAATTCAACCAGATCATACAGTCAGATTGGTTCAAAGTTTTCTATCTAAGGAAAACCAGCTAATTACATCGACTCGTTGACTCGAAGGCAATCCCTCAAAGCAAGCATGCTAATAGCAACTGTGGGAAGGAAAACTCCCTTTTAACAGGAAGAAACCTCCAGCAGAACCAATGCACAACTCAGTGTTAGGGGCCATCTGCAGAGGCCGGCTATAGAATAGAATAGATAGAATGAAGCAGAAGTATGAAAGGTGGTCCCTCCAACAGTATCATAACTAAAGAGATAGCTCAGGATAACCTGAGCCACTCTCACTATAAGCTTTAGCAAAAAGGAAACTTTTAAGCTGAGCCTTAAAGAGTTAAATGGCCTGTACTTATATAGTGCTTTTTCAAGTCAGAAGACTTTACACTACATTCAGTCATTCACCCATACACTCCCAACCTACACTGGTGCCACTAGGCCCTCTGACCGTCATCAGTAGGCAACGAAGGTAAGGACACAACAACAGTGAAAGCCAGAGCCAGGGCTTTAACCAACAACCCTGGGGTTGCAGGGCAAAATCTTGACTCCGAAGCTACTGTCACCACTGTTAAAGTAGAAGGGTGTCTGCCTCAAAGAATAAAATTTATACACATAATGTTAAATTTGGAAGTAGTTGAAAAATGTTAAGTGGCAAACTCCAAGTAAGCAAAATAGGTTTGGCACATTTCAATGGATTTAGTAAAGTATGAGATTTCATATTTATAAAAGCTTGTGTTTAAGGCAAAATAATTATTGAGGTTTTCTTTGGTAGATGTATACAAACTACAGAAGAAACTTTTAACAAAGATGCCAATATTTGCAATAAAATAGGAGGTATTGCAAGTATCGGTGCAAATGTATTCAGATGGCCATCCACTTAACCTGAAAGGCCAGGCAAGGATATATTGGTTGGATAAATGGTAAAGAAGTTCATGGTAACTTTGGAGGAGATGCAGAGATGCTCATTGTGCGAAAAAATCTCCTGCTATGTCCATTATACAGAAATAATGGTGTCAGGTGGAGGAGATTGCCCTGCTGTCTGAGGTTTGTCGGATCGAGCCCTGGGTCTGGCTTTCAGTGTGCATTGCCTACTGATGGTAGTCAGAGGGCCTGGTGGTGCCAGTGCACGGCAGCCTCACTTCTGTCAGTGAGCCCCAGGGCAGCTGTGCCTACAATGTAGCTTGCCACCATTAATGACTGAATGTAATGTAATGCACTTGTACAGTCACAAAGATAAAGCCAATGTTTTTATTTTTTAGAGTTTTTCACAAGCAAAAAGGTCACATGAGAAAACTAAATGCACTTAATCAGAAAAAGATGCAACAGCAAAACAGTGGCTTCCAAAAATAGTGTGACTGGGGCTGAGTTTGATCATCTAAAGATGACAGCCAAAGCTGCAGTAGAAGGGTTTAGATCATATGATTATGCTTTAGAATAAGACAAACCAGACAAAATTCAACAGAGAATTTAGTGGCAAAGCTGCAAAATGTTTATGCACTGGCTGAAGTTTTTCTTTTTCTATTTTTTTTTTTTTTTCTTGTTTGTTTTTGTTTTTTTTTTGTTTTTGTCCAGAATCACTAGACATTATCTTTGCTTGTTTCAGTTTGATACTCGCACCCCAGACGAGGTTAAAACAATTGTGTCATAAAAAAGCAAAACAAAACAAAACAAAAACTTTCCAAGCAGTCAGACAGTAGAAATATGGAAACCTATCCATTGTAATACAACATTTTACCAATAGGGGGCGGTGTGGATCTCCATGCTTCTACAGTAACATGGCGGTCTGATGTAAGGATATTTTTGGTTTGATTTTTCAAAAGTACAAGGACCTGCAATCGAGGTATTTGCAGTTTTATCCTTCAGACTTAATAATATGAGATAGAATATTCATTTATTTTTGCTGTGGGCAGTCAGTCAGTCTCTGTAGATTTCTTCCTCAGTGCCATGTTCGGGTTTCGATCCCGTCTGGTCGGAGTCTGGTATCCTGAGCTCTTTGCGAGGCTTTCCAGGCTCTGCCACCGGGGTAGAAGTCCAGAAACTACACACGATTTTGTTTTAATCGTGACATTCATAACAAGTGCATTTCAGGAATACTAAGATAAAAGTAGCACAACACACTGCTATTTTCTTAGCCAGCTAGCTTAGCCTTGTGTGTTAGCTAAAAGACGCTGACTTGGTTAGAAATCAACCGAGTTTTTTATTTTTTATCACTGAATTAACTTTCTATTTTATCTTTTTTTACATATAAAGTGTGCCGAAGTCATGTAAAATGTTAGACAATGTTTGGTACTTATTCTTAATAATTGATTTGTTGTATTAACTCTGCAGTTACTAAATAGGGGTAAACTTAATTTTTTTCAACGAAGTCTGGTGTGACAGGAACACGATCCCTCAACCACGCTAGAGTTAGCATCTGGTTCCTATCTTCTCTTAATGTCTTTTTAATAGTTATCGCTGTCTGAACTACGTTTGATTAACTTCCAATTAGTGTCTGAAATATCTAAGTAATTTAAAATGTATCTGATATTTAAAGGAAGTCACATTAAAAGGGTGAACTAGTCCTTTACTCACATCCTGAATCGGATTCACATGGAATCTATGTATATTAGTGGATAGATTTTAGTTTACATCCATTATAGTTATTTTCACTTGTTTTTCTAGCTCTTTAAGTATAAAATCAAGGAAATTATGCAATATTATTGAATTCTCTGTCATGACTTTAACTAAATTTGTGTGCTCTTAATAGAAGTTGAATAAAGTTTCATACATGAAGAAAATTTTAGAGGAAACCTTCAAGTAACATGGAGCCAGTGGATCCTGTTGTCTCAGGAAAAGGTTTGTAGAAACACACTCTTTCCAGTTAGGTTTTATTTTCTTATGTGATTGTATAAATATGTTATATATATATCACCATTTAAACTTCTTTAACATTAAATGCACCAATTTCAGTGGGATTGTATGTGATATGCTGACATGTACAAGCAAAAGGATAAATGATTGATGATATTTACAACAACAAAATCTGCAAAGTCTTATTTTTGTCACATTCTTTGGATTTTTTTTAAATATATATTTATATTAAATGGTAAACCTGTTTTTTTAAAGATGAATCCCTCATCCTGAGCCACCACAAAAGTCAGATTTATGGGATGCAGGATTGACAGTTATCTAGGACTGCAACGATTATTTTGCAAATTGGTTAATCTGTCTAGCCAATAGTGTTATTGGAATCCAGGACAAGACCTTATAACCTTTGTAACATAAAAAAAATATGGATATTTTGATGATAGAAATTAATGTCAAACAAGAAACGCCAACTTGCCCAAATATTTTAAGAAAAACAACAGAAGTGCTTCTATAAGAAATTCATGAAAAACACTCTGAGAGTGAAAGAAACACATTTTTGGTCCAACATAACCTTAGAGGCATTAATGCTGATACTGGCACTTACATTTTTTAATGTATAAACCTAAATATAATTGAATGTAAATTATAATATAAATATTAATATATATTTTTTACTTTTCAATTAGCTTTTTAACTTTTTTTTCTTGAATTTTTAACTTTTTTTTTTTGCTTAATTTCCAGTAGGTAATATTCAAGGGTTCATCTAATTGGTCAAATGCCAAAATAAGATGTACAGTCATGTAGCAGTATCTTTGCTGAATGGCTGGATATAGATCTTGTGCTTCTAGACCTCACTGAGGGACAGGGGGACTCCATTTGTAAGCGGTATGCAAGTGATCAAAAACAGTAACTTTCCCTATAAAGGGTTAATGGATTAATAATCAGAAAGCAAAATGTTTCTTAAACAAGACTTTTTGCAAAATGAAACTGAATGTGATGCACACATAGGAGTTCTGGGTGGAGAATATTGACAGACGAAAGAGATTTCTATCTGAAATGCAAAATGTTTACATTAGGGCTGCAGCTAACAAGTATTTTGCAAATCGATTCATCTGTCAAAAAATTTTTTTGGATTAATGATTTTTATTTTAACTGCAAAATGTTTACATATTTTTGATTTTACAATTTTGGTATAATTGCTGCTAAGGTTGGGTCACTCTGTCACACATGTTTGAGAGTCTCTACACTCTTTACGATTAATCGATTACTAAATTCGTTGACGATTATTTCAATAATCAATGAATTACAATTTATCAGACTAATTGTTTCAGACCTAGTTTACATATTTTTGTTACAATTTTGGGGTAATTACTGCTCTAAGTGGGTTGTTCTGTAAGCTAAAGGCATGTTTTATAGTCTCTATACTCCATTTAACGATTAATTGATTGCTAAATTAGTTTACGATTATTTTGATTGTTTCAACCCTACAGTTATCCAATCAATAGATTCTCCCACCTGAGATGTAGAGCGTTGCTGCTCATACAGAGTTACCTTAGTCCTCCTGGGTGCTTTAATAAATTAATTTCCAGCTAATTGCCCTCATTGGCCTTCATGGTTTTGCTGCTTGTTTCTTCTTTAGGGGTATAAGAGTTAAGATACATAAGCATGTGAGGACAGAATACAGCTATTCTTTTTATTCTTTAATTAACTGAGTTATTAATACAAAAAAAAGATCATTTTGAAAGCCATTCTCACATGGTTTAATCTTTCTCCTTGCAGGGCAAGACAAGCCATCACAGTCTCTTTATTTATCTCCCAGCTCAAAAGGACGGCAACGGAAGAAAAACCCCAAGTATTTAGATGAACCGGATTTCACTGAAAATGTCAAACAGAAATCCCCCAGAAAGTCACCGGAAAAATGTGTACCCCCTAAAAAGACCCCTGCAAAACCTAGAAAAACTAAAACACCTCCAACAGAGACTGCAAACGGAGAAAAAGAACAAATCCCTCCAGATACGGTGGAACAGACATTAGTAACGCCTAAAAGACGAGGAAGATCCAAAAAAACACCGTTAGTGAAGACGGCTTCGCCGTCTCTAACTGTCACTGCTGATGGAGACCCCCAAACCACAGAGACTGGAGGTGCAGAAAATTCAGTCAAGCAAGAAAATGGGACACCGAAGCCAAAGAGAAAGTATGTCAGAAAGAAGCCTGTAGAGGAAGTTAGAGATCCACCAGATAAAAAGGAGCAAGGAGAACCTGATGAGGAGCCTGAATCCGGGGGCCGTCGCAGAAGAGGGGCCGCAAAGGTGTAAGTTACATGAAGTCTAAAATATGCCTTTAAAGAAACATACACTTTGAATTATTGCATATTTAAAGTGTGGCTTCTGTAGAAATATATAAAACTCTACGTGTTCTGTTAGCCTTTCTTTACTAAAATATTGCATCTAGATATGAAGATCTAGCCTCCTTCCCTTCAATGGCTTCAATTATACCTGCATTAACTTTAATGCAATAAACAAAACCCCAAAAAAATCTTCCAGGGCGCTGAAATACCTTCACGATTTAGCCAAAGAGGCGTTTGCTCATTCCAGAGATGAACCCGACTCTGAGCAGCAAGAAGAATCCCAAAAGAAAGGCTCCAAAAAAGGTAGAGTGGAAGTCTTGATTGTTTGCATCACCTGCCGCTCGATCTCTCGCCTTATAGCTTCTGTTTTAATCTCACTCTAGCCTTTCATAGATTAATTTTTTACCCAGTGTTAAAGGAAAAGTCCGGTCAGCAAGGAATAATCAATGGATCGTTGCGATCACTCATTCTAGGAGCGGCCATTTTTGCCCAAATATAGTAACACCTCGCTCCGGACATCTTCCAGCAGTGATGTCATGGTGCGGTAAGCCTAGCGCCATTCTCCCCACTTTACAAGCAAAATCAATGGGAACTACTAGACACATCTGCAATCACCAACTATAGGGCTTGGGCGTCGTGACGTAATTACTTTGCGTCGCTGCCATCTTGAATGCCTCTTTTACCACTGCTCATACTACTGCCTATGACTACCGCGTGCTGTACTCCCTCTCACCCGTGTTTTAATTTGATTAATTTCACCTTAACTGGATTTCAACCATGGTAAACCGTTGCTGTATTGTGGGCTGTAACAGCGCAACACATGATCGCCATGGGAAAAACATAGAAAATGGGTTCACTTTCCACCTCTTTCCTGCCTGAAAGCGCAACCACGGAGACCAGGTGTCAGAGATAAAGAGTTGTCGGCTAGCTTGGATCGGGGCTGACCGAACATAACTTTCCACAGTATCCCGATGTCAATGATGGTGTGTTCCCTGCATTTTCATTCTGGTAATTTAGAGATGCACGGTTTTATTTTATAGCCTACATTGTTTCTTTCCTTCAAAGTTGGGATCTTTTACGGGAAAATAATAAAAACGGCAGAGGAAAAGGCTCAAATAGGTGAGAAACCCAGAGGGTTGGCAGTTAACGTTACTAACTACACCTTTGAAACACATAGCAGCTAGTTAAAAGAACATTACATGCGTGAGTGGTTGTTAGCACTAGCGGTTAGCAGTTACTAAACTAGCAGGTTCCAGAGCCCGTCTGATCACAGCTTACCTTCGTACGCATTACTGTGTTCCCACTGTTTGCTGGCTTTATGATGTGCAGCTCCTGAACCCATCCATTCATGAACTGCACATGAGACTCCAAGGACTTGTAGCTTCGGAACTGTTTTGCAGTATAGGCGCTCACTCATCGGTGCTCCACTCATTGTTTGGAACTTCATATGGATCCAAATTATTAATAATGCTGATTTTGTCAACAAACCGGTCCCTGGCTTCTCTATTTAATGTGTCCCGGTAAATTCCAGATGCTTTTCGGGATTTTAAAATCTTTTTCTCTCTACTTTTACGTCTCTTCTTTCAACAACAACGTTGTATCAGAGCTATGTTTACGTTCGCGTAGCCATCAACATGGCCGCCACGTCCCACAATGTAACGCAGATCCCAAGCCCTTTTAGCCATGCATGTAGTATATTAGATTTTGAGAGGACTTCACCATTTTAATTCACCAGAGCTATAGTTAAACTAACAATGACCTTGTGCATGGCAGTTGGATGTTGTAATACATCGGATAAAAGTGAAAAAAAAAATTAGTTATTTCACTTTTCCTCCACGGACGGGTTCGTCATTGCCATCAAACCTCTGGCCAGATAAAAAACACGTAATATGTAGCCAACATTTGGAAGAAGAATGTTTTCAAGATGACTTGGATAATAGCGCATTGTGACAAACACCAGATACAGCACTGGCACCTGATCAACAGCCGATACCACACCGTGACGTCACAAACCAGTAGGTGGCAGTAGTGTTCTTTGACAAACATGGATGCCTCCAGTAAAGCACATTCAAATGAAAATTATGCTTAATTAAAACACTTATCATTTATTGAACAGAAGGTAATAATTTCATATTTATAGTACTTTCAGAAGTTTGAATTCTGAATATGACTGAACTTTTCCTTTAAAGAAAGACACCACCTTTACGATTTAAGGGAATATAGTAAAACGATGACGAAACGCATCTATAGATGGAAATTGCAGCTTTCAAAAATCACATAGGAAGAAACGAAGGTAACTTTTAGAGGATAGAACTTTGTAGGATTCTTATCTATGTGTCTGAACTCCAGGCCGAAAGAGAAAACGGGACGACATCGACGCTCTGGACGATGAAGACTTTGTTCCGAATATCGTAGACGAAGAAGAGGACGAGGCTGATGAAGGCGACCAGGAAGAGGAAGAGTTTTGGGATGAGGAGAGAGATGGCAGAAGGTTTCCATCTGCTTTTTACAGCAGCAAGGGCCGTGTAAGATATAATTTTGATTTTAAGACTTGGGTCACTATTGATCAATTTGATAAACCTCACTACAATATAAAGTTAGATGGCCAAGAAAAAGATTTTTGCTGACTAATAGAATTTTCTTTTGTCTGTTTTTATAAGCAGAGCTGAAGGGATGTAGAACATTAGAAAATTAGCTTTCATCATGAATTATCAATCAAAAGGCGTAATAAACTAAAACCATATTCACTCTGTGTTTTTCTTCCCTGCACCCTTACAGGGCAAACCCATCAAAGGAATACCTAATAATATCATACAGACAATGACGGACTCAGCTGAGAAAACCAGGAAATTGTAAGTGGCTTTTCTCTCTGTGTTGAAGTTCTGCATCTTGGCATAGAGAAGTAGTTTGAAAATAAAGACCTGCAGGTTTGTCCAACTGCATGTCTGTGTGTTTTCAGCCGGGAAGAGCACTGCAGCAGCTGGGTGTTCCCAGACTGGGTTCCCTCTGCTAAAGATTGGGAGCCTGTTCCAGAAAAGTAGGTTCCCTTTGTCTGTTTTGTGTGCCTACTATCAAACATTTGATTTGGGAGCTATGTGTGACTTAGTGGTAGCAGGAACAACGTTAAACGAGATAACATTCCCCAATGCAGCCGCCAACCAGGGGCGGATTTACCATTAGGCAATACTAGGCAGTTGCCTAGGGCCCCAAGTTCCTGGGGGCCCCATAAAACTTTCCATGTATGGTTAATACAACTATTCCTTATTTGTGCACATTAATTATGTTTTTGATCAAATCCTTTGGCTAAAATGCCATCAGAACAAAGAAAAAAGCTCCTAGCGCCAAATCTAGCGACTTTTTTCTGCTACTGGAGACTTTGGAGACAACATCTAAAAGCAGCGAACTCTGCTCTCCAGAGCGAGTAGATTGGTAACCCCGCCTCCTGCTCTCCTTTATCTTGTCTGCTGTCATGATTCATGCAGCTACTATTTCATCCAAATGAAAAATGGAGAACAGATAAGCAGATCATGGCTTGTCTACAGTGAAAAGAAGGACTGAGTTATTTTTCCTTTACAGACAGCATGAAAAGTCAGCTGAGTACAAAACATAGAGAGGAAAACAAGAAGAAAAGGGACAAGAAGAGAGGGACAAAACCTAGAACAGATAATGGATGTCTATTCTATTAACATTTCTCTATCTGTAGAATGGGGCTGTTTGATGTGTTGTCTTCTCCATTCAGAGGGGCCCCTGCCTGTCTTTGCCTAGGGCCCCAAAATTCCTAAAGTCGCCCCTGCTGCCAACGGCTCGATTCCCAACCCATTGCCTCTTACTGCACCCTTCTGTCTCTGCCATTCCTCCTTTTCCAGCTACCAGTTATTAAAGGTCACTAGGATCCAAAGGAACAGACTTTTAGCTAGCAAAGTGTACGGGTGTACATTGTATGCCCTTTAATATAAATATTAGAAATTGTACGGCCTGCTTTTGAAATGTACGGCTTTGCGAAGCCTTGCTTTCCACTCCAGAAACTGTTCAAACTTTAAAAATTTCAGCAGCAGCAGATGTCGGAGTTGGGAAAATTTGAACTTTTTCTGCTCAAGGTGCCACGTCAACCAATCAGAGAAGCTGATCTACGAGCTTACAGGGAGACAGACGCAGCATCGCTGATGCGGAGCGCTATGATCACTCCTCTAAAACAGTTTATCAACGCCTAAATGAACTTAAAATGTTGAGACCTGCCGACAGTTCTGGGTGAACTGACTAAACAGACGATGCATAAAAATATATTAAAACTAGTTTTTACTCACCGATCGCAGCAAACACAGCAAAGCAGCTCTCTGCCATTAAACACAGGAGCTGCAGAAGCATCGGACAACCATCTGGACGCGCTACAGGAACCTCACAGATGCTCTTGAGGCGCGTCCTTAATGCGGACAGGCATCAAAAAGGTAACAGCAGACGCTTTTTTGATGCTCTAATCGCGGTGTGAACATAGCATTACACTTTCTTATTGTTTGAATTAACCTCCAACCATCCATTTTCTTACACGCTTGTCCCAAGTGGGGTCGCGAGGGGTGCTGGTGCCTATCTCCAGCAGTCAATGGGCAAGAGGCGGGGTCCACCCTGGACAGGTCGCCAGTCCATCGCAGGGCAACACAGAGACACACAGGACAAACAACCATTCACGCCTAAGGAGAATTTAAAGAAGCCAATTAACCAAACAGTCATGTTTTTGGACTGCGGGAGGAAGCCGGAGTACCCGGAGAGAACCCACGCATGCTCAGGGAGAACATGCAAATTAATAAATTAACCTATTAACATAATATTCTACCTAAAAATGATCTCATGCCTTCCATATAAAAAAATTCCACCTCCAGTCAAGCACACATATTTCCCATAATCAGGAAAAGTAGTGTTTAATTTAGATGCATTCCACCTTAAAATACAGGAAATAGCGTTTCAGTCTAAATTTCAAAATTTTCTAGGGGAGGAAACCTCCTTAACCCCCAACGCCTTGCAAAGTCTAAAGATGTGATACACCAAGGAGTACACCCCATGAAATATTCTTAGCTAAAAGCCTGCAAAGGAACAGTTAATTTGCTATAATTACCTTTTATTGCTAAGAAAATAAAAAAAAGGGCTGCGTCTGAAAACTCAATCACAGAAGAGGCTAAAACCTTAACCATGGACACACTCCGAGCTGGGATAATGTTTCCTGATAGAGGATGAACATGTTAACCAAGCAAATAGAGTAGGACATCATTTAGTTTCTGTGCTCTATTTTTTGATCTAAAAACAAGTAAAAAATTCTTTAAAAAGTGAATTTGCCGGTTATTTAAGCAGGTAAATAAGAAGAATTGCTAATAGAATTTTTATTTTTGCCACGGTATGAGACAGTTGGATATTATGCGCTCAAAATAATGGTGTTGGTTTTTTCCAGTTTTAAACATAAATCGTCTTATTCTGTCTTCCTAACCTGCTCAAAATAAGGAAAAATACACTTATTTAAAGAAAAGTTTACTTATATTCCAATTTTCCGCTGTCATTTTGTGCAAGGAACACTCATGACATAACATTTAGAGTTTCCCAGTGATGTTAATTTACTTGTCAGGTTCAGGGTCATAACTGGGCTTCTGTAAAGATGCTAGAAAAGATGTAGCTACCAAACATGCAGGGCATCCGAGCAGCTGGGAGCCTCCATTCGTTTATCCTCTTAGTTTATTGCTGTGAGTGTCCATGGTTCCTCTATGGTTCTTATAGGTCCATGAGGATGACTGCTGTGCTCAATGTCAAAAGAGCTGTTTTAACTGAATAGTTTGTTAGATTTTCTACTTTAAACTAAGTGCACGTCATGCTTATGTTTATCACCAGTATTGTGAATAAAGTGAAGCTGACTCAGTTCTGCAGCTCTTTGCTAAACGTATCTGTTAGGTTTATGAAATGATCTGGTCTGCATACGATCGTTTCATGAAACGGATGTGTTACTTTGATGAGCTTGACAGATTAGCTGGAGATACTATGAAAATGAAAACATACAAAAAAACTAATAATTTGTTTTAAGGTGTGATATAGACACCGGTCTTCATTAAGAATTGTATTATAAGGCCTTATTGGAAGCTAAACTTCCTCATCTATGAACACAAACAAACAGCTTTTCTTTGGCAATCAGAAGTCAGTGCACCATCCGAGCTCCTGATTAAGCTGCTTACTTTAACCTAGTATGAAGATATGTTTATTAAATTTAACTAAATATAATACGCTTTCGCTTCTTTTTTTCAGTGAACTGGAAAAATACCTCCCTCAAGAAGTTAAGTCAGCTGCTTTCAAAGTGACCAGAGAAGGTCTGACGAAGGAAGAGGCGCCGCAGCTTCGGCTCAGCAGGTGAGTCCGCCCAACGTTTTTAGTTCTTCTGACACAATAAGGGAATTTAAAGTTGGTTCATTTGATTAAAAGGGAGTTTTTCCTCTCCACTGTCGCTACAAGCATGCTTAGTGTGAGGGATTGTATTTGAGTCAATGAGTCGATGCAATCAACTGGTTTTCTTTAGATAGAAAACTGTGAATCAATTTGACTGTATGATCTGGTTAAACTTTGAGATGACATGTGTTGTGAATTTGGCGCTATATAAATAAACTGAATTGAATTGAACCTTGCAGGTTTGAGGCAACGCCAGCTCACCGGGATCGCTGGGACATGATCCTGTTTGCTGGTGGACCGGTCTGGGCCATGGAGTGGTGTCCCACACCTGACGGTGCTCCTGCCTCCCAGTACCTCGCTCTCGCTTGCCATCGAGGGATGGATGACCTGCACTGTGTGAACCGGACCTACTCAGAACCAGGACTCCTCCAGCTGTGGGACTGTGGCAAACTGGAGTATGACAGCAGGTAGATGAAGGCTGCAACTAATGATCAATTTCCTTATTGATTAATATGTTGAATATTTTTTTCTATTAATAATCAGATAGCTAAATTTCCTTACATTTAGGAGCATATTGACTCACTGAGATCTTGAATGCAAAAGGTTTTTTTTGTTTGTTTTTTTACGATGTTGGTATATTTACTAGTCTAAGTGGGTCAGTCTGTCAGATAAAGGCCTTTTTTACATTCTCTATGCTGCAGTTAAAGATTAATAGATTTTTTAATTCGATTAATAATAATAAATTTAGTCCATTATTTCAATAAATGATTAATCTGATTAGTTCTTTCAGCCCTAAGGTAGATATTAGGGCCCTAAAGTAGATAATCGGCCCCCTATCGGTATCGGCCTCAAAACTTAATATCGGACATCGGCCACCCCACCAGTATTTAACCCGATATTTGATCAGCTTCTGAGTTTCTAAAGTCTAAAAAGAAAAATAAAGATACTACTTCTTCTTCTTCCTCAAAAACTTCTTTTTTACAGACTTAAAAACTTCTGAAGACGAAGGAAAAAATATTGATACATTAAAATATCACAACATCTTCATATGCTGATATATTGCCATTTAAAAACACCATATCAATCTCTTTTACTAATGAAATATTCCTATATGTCATCGTTATGCTACGAAATCCCCCGACAATTCACGAAATTTTGCCATATTTTTATATGTTGATATATTGACGCGGTATCGATTAGGGGTGTAAATAATAATTGTTTTGTATCGATGCATCGATCCAAAAGCCGACGATCCGATGCATCGATACGTCCTCAAGATAATCGATTCATGTTTTTTTTTTTCCTCTGGTCTATTTTTATCCATTTGCTCCTGGGCGTAATTCTCCTCCCGTGCTGCGATGCCGCTAAACCTATTTTTCCCTCCTACCGCGCTTCCTGGTTATACTCTTACAGCAGTGTGTTGCAGTAAGCTTGACACAGACATTTTTAAATTATGCTCAGTATTGAAGCGTGGTCTGTGCTACACGTTGTGGGTCTAGATACGGCCGAGGCAGCGAGGAAGGGGGGGCGAGTTTAGTCCGACGACGGAGGGACATGAGGGCCAAAAAGAGCGGAGATCCAGCTGGAAAAAGGGTCCCAGCGTTCCCGCGCACCTCGCTCTTCTAGCGGGTCAAACTTCACGAGTTGTTTTCCGTAATTTCGGTCATAAAAACAAAACAAGCCGGCCTCCTGTCTGCTGCACTGTTTGCGGTCAGCTACAGTCTGGGAGAGGTGCAGCGGAGCGTCTCTCAAGGGGGCGGTGACGTCAACACTCTGGAGCCTTCTTCTTCTTCTTTTTTTTAATGGCGGTTGGCAAACAACTTATAGGTGCATTACCGCCACCTTCCAGAATGGAGTATGGACCAGAAAAACTATTATATTCTCCCTAAAATACCCGTTCTTCTTAGAAAATTAAAAATACTCCCAAAAACTACATCCCCAGATGACCTTTGAAACAATTCCCTTATATCTAGTTTACTTTTATTCCTGTCTAACTCTCTACACAACATCTCTCTTTCCTGAGTATATTTATTACATTCTAAAAAAAATATGTTGGACAGTTTCTCTGGAGCCGAGGTATTGCATTGAACTGATTACACTAATATTGTGCAGTATTTTTGCAGTATTTTTTGATGCAACTTTTCTACTTCTGTTATTTGCTGTTGTATCTAAAGAAAATGCATAATGATATTACAGCTTTCATTGATTTATTTCAAACTTGAAACTTTGTTTAGCCTGTAAGGTGTAAAAAAAAAAAATATTAATAAAGGAAAAATGTAACCGATTAATCGATTAATCGAATCGAATCGAATCGAATCGTGGTGTATTCTTGAGAATCGAAAATAATCGAATCGTTGGGTCAGGAAATCGATACTGAATCGAATCGCCATGATGGATGTGATTTACACCCCTAGTATCGATCTATTTTACTAACAAAATCTCACAAGAATTTGCAAAATATCACGAGAGTTTGTAACAGAACGATGAAATTCCATGAGATTTTGAAAGTAAAATAGATCGATATCGCGTTTTTAAAAATCAATTTGATATCAGCATATGAAAATATATTTGAGTGTATTATCTTTCAAAGTGTCAGAAATGGATAACAAAACTGCTATTTTCAATGACTACTTATTTTTGTCCAGCTTTAACATCAGTATCGATATCGGTTATCGGCTACATGAGTTTTAAAATATCTGATATCGGCCAAAATCCCAATATCGTGCATCCCTAGTAGATATAATATATCCACATTTAGATTGTTGTAGTATTATTAATGTTCCTATTTTGGTCCTTGGCAGCAGCATCCCGTCTCTGTGCCTCCATTCTCATCTCTGTAAATTCTTTTTTGTGTTTTCTTTTCCATGTTTTTCTACCCTGTCTTCTTTCACTGGATCTTTATATTTTTTTTCCTGTTTCATGCTTTCCTCCTGTGCAGACCAAACTCTCAGCCGTCTCTGGCTTATGGCCTGGCTCAGGACAAAGGCTTCATCTGGCAGCTAAAGTGGTGCCCTGCAGGAGGTTGGGAGCTTCCTAACTGTGTCAGAAAGGTAAAGCAAAATAAAGAGTCTGTAGCTAAATGTGTTTGCTATTTAGCCTTGAAGGTGATGGGATTTTTATCTTTTCGTTTCTCTTCAGGCTTTCTTGCCCAGACTGGGTCTGCTGGCAGCAGCGACCTCCAGTGGTGTGGTCACCATTTATAGCCTGCCCCACCCTGAGGCTTTGCTCTTAAACAGAAAACTGTCAAACTCAGGTAAGGCTCAGAAATGTGTCAACTATATCAGTTCAGGTTTCTTTTTTGATATTTTGTTTTTAATACTTTTAAACTCAGGTTACATGTTTTTTTTTTTTTTTTTTTTTTTTTTATTTATGCTTTTTCAGAGTTAAACAGACAAGACAAAAAAGAGAAAAAAAATACAGCAAAACAGTAAACAAGTACAGCAAAAACAAAAAACAAGACAAAACGGTGTCAGCAAACTGAAGAACTGATAAGAGAATAATTATATTATTATTATATTAATAGAACATATTAAAGCACGAGGCAGAGTCAGAGAGGACAACAAATAATTCTGCAGACATTGTGTCAAGCGGATCAACATAAAACATGGGATATCAATAAAAAGAAGAGTGCAATAAAGGATGACAGTATTGAGATAATAATGCATAATAATAAAAAGAAAAAAAGGTCCAGAAAAGAGTCATTTTAACCCATTATTTTGAATATGTCTATTAAAAGGATCCCACACATCAAGGAACTTATCATGATTGTCTGACAGAGAGTATCGAATTTCTTCGAGATAGATACAGGACACCATATCATTGAGCCATTTCTTAAAGCATGGAGGTGTAGAGGATTTCCATTCCCTCAGATTAATCCGTTTTGCAACCACCAAACCAAACATTAGAGACTGCTGCAGAGACATGGGAAGAGCAACCCAGAATTATCAAATGGTTTTCCGGATATAGAACTTTGCCATAAGCGTTATTATAAAATTTAAATATTCTGTACCAAAAGTCCATAAGCTTAGGGCAAGAGCAAAACATATGACCCTAAGTCCCATTATCTGATTTACATTTGTCACATATTGGAGACACACTAGGAAACAGCTTACCAAGTTTGGTTTTAGAAAAATACAAACGATGGATAACCTTGAATTGAATAAGTTGCAATCTGGAATTAATGGAACAGGTTTTGATCCTTGACAGACTAAAATTCCACATCTCATCTGAAATTTCGACTAGTATGTCAGAAGCCCAGGCTTCTTTTATATGATTAGTAGAAGGAGATGAACTGAAAAGATTAACAAAGTGAGAGATTAGCTTTCTAGAAGTAGGGGGCTTTTTTATAAGCTCGAAGAGCTTTTTAAAAAAAAGATTAACTAAAAAAAAAGAAGATCACATGATGTCTCAGCTCTATCTGAGGTTTATGCTGTAGTAAATCGCTGCTATAGTTATATCGAGATCATAATAGTTATATAGATCATAATGTTAAGCAGCCATTCACACTTAGGCACTGTAGGAACAAGATGAGGAGGGAGGAAGCTTGAATCAAACCCACAGCCTTCTGATTGGAAAATAATTCCTCTCATTGCCACATAGTCGCCTCAGATAGCAAAAGAAGAACTTAGCCTGTTCATTTATAACAAAACAATAATTCTCTAATATCTATAGCAGAGTGACAAGCAGTGATCCAGAATAAAACTCGACATCAAGAGAGATCATGGCTGCACCACTTTACCATAACCCTTATAGATGGTTAATAAATAGTTTGTAGAAATGTTATTAATTAATCTTTGAACACTTTATAACTCATTCACAACTGGATATTATGCTTTCAACATATTATGCATGTTTAAAATTATTTTTTTCAAATTCTTATCATGCTTTTAGTTGAATTTAAATATTTAAGTTCAATTCAAAAATACTTTATTTAATTAGATTAGGTGGTAGTAATCCGGTCTGAAATGCAAGAAACTGGTCAGTTTTGTGTCCTACTCCACTTAATTATTGCATAATGAACACTCTAAAAGATTAACATAGGTTTACAAATTAATTAATGGCATGCAAATATATGCATATGTTTTTTTTTTAAATTATTATTATTTTAAAATGCTACCAAAATGGCTCACGTTGAGTGAACAGTAAGTTTTAAAAACACTGAAAAAAAACCCCACATGTTGCAGTTTTAGGCATGTCCAGCAGAGGTCAGTGTTGCTTTACTGCACCCTGAAGTTAGGCTAACATGCAGATGAATAGCTGAGGTATAGCTTCTTTAAAATGTCCCAGGATAATCTAGATATAGTCATGTTTGACTCAGGCTAATCCTGATGTTGCCCCGGCTTTATTCTTTGGCATTTATAACTAGAAACGTTCTAATTCAGGTCAATTTTAGGGAGCAAAGCATCAGTTACTTCTTCAGACCTTGGAAGTTGTATCCTGAATCCTCAAAATGTTCATGTTAAGGAGATAAAGGTTCACATTTCATGTCTCCAAACTCCTAGCATACAAAGACATAACTCTAAGAAATCATCCAACATTTTTGGTCATTTAATAGCTGATGAATAGCTTAAGCACGTCAGAAGGTGTTAATAGCAGGGTTTCTATGTCACAGGCTTTCACACACAGCTATACGAACTCAATACTAATAATGTAATTAATCAAACAGCCAGATTATCCATCATGTCAGACATGGACATGATTAACTGGAGCAAAACTTGAGCCAGTTTAATGAAACCACCCTGGAGGCCCCTCCCTTTGGTTGTTTCCATGCTTCCATGCTGCTTTAACAATGGCAGCAGTAAAAAAAAAAAAAAACAGGGGTCCATGCTGAGAGTATGGATGATGGAGCCTGTGGTCAAGTTTATTCACATCACCACGCCTGCAGCCTTTGGCGCTCTGCTGATAGAACAGTGTGAATGTGATTAATGAGCGGTTTATCTGCAGCATCCATCATATGCAGAAAGGCTCTTATGTCTTTGTGAATAAGTGTTTTTCTTCCTGTCAGGGGTCTGCTCAGATTAAACACGACACCAGAGAGTTATCTTCTCTTTGATGCTGTTAATAAAGCAGAAGATCTTATTGATTATTGATAACACATTTTCTCTCTAAATATGTCAACCTTTCATTTGACTGGATTTTTTTTAGTGGGGGAAACATTCCACCTGAAGACATAATTGTTTTTAGCAAAGGCTTGGTTCTCATGATGTTCATACTTTAAAGGAGCTCAACTTAAAGAGATTCTACAGGAAATTCTAGAATAAAGGAAGACGATTTAGTGACTGGTTATAATTTTGATATTTACCTGTTTTGTATGTTTTAGGATCAACATTATACTGAAAGATCCTACGATGAACCATTTTCAGGTTACTGGGAGAGGCTGGTAGATGTTCATGGGCGTAGGTTTGCATAGGGACTAGGGGTGTAAATAATAATCGTTTTGTATCGATGCATCGATCCAACAGCCGACGATCCGATGCATCTATATGTCCGCAAGAGTATCGATTCATTATTTTTTTTTTTTCCTCCGGTCTATTTTTATCCATTTGCTCCTGGGCGTAATTCTCCCTCCCGTGCTGCGGTGGCGCTAAACCTATTTTTCCCCTCCTACCTCGCTTCCTGGTTATACTCTTACAGCAGTTTTTTGCAGTAAGCTTGACACAGACAATTTTGATTTATGCCCAATATTGAAGCGTGGTCTGTGCTACACGCTGTGGGTCTAGATACGGCCGAGGCGGAGAGGAAGTGGGGGCGAGTTTAGTCCGACGACGGAGGGACATGAGGGCCAAAAAGGGCGGAGATCCAGGTGGAAAAAGGGTCCTAGCGTTCTCGTGCCCGTCGCTCTTCTAGCGGGTCAAACTTCACGAGTCGTTTTCCGCAATTTCGGTCATAAAAACAAAACAAACCGGCCTCCTGTCTGCGGCACTGTTTGCAGTCAGCTACAATTTGGGAGAGGTGCAGCGGAGCGTCTGTGGAGGGGGCGGGGACGTCTGGAGCCGAGGTATTGCATTGCACTCATTGCACTGATTATGTGCAGTATTTTTTTTATGTAAAGCCTTCCAGAATCTATAACTCAGTGGTAATATTTTTCAGTGAATGAGGTTTTAATAGGAATAGGTGGAGTGCAACTTTTCAACTTCTGTTATTTGCTGTTGTTTCTAAAAAAAAAAAAAAAAAAAAGCATAACGTTATTACAGCTTTCATTGATTCATGTTTAGCCTGTAAGGTGTAAAAAAAAAAAAAAAGAAATAGAACCAATTAATCGAATCCAATCGTGGTGTATTCCTGAGTATCGAAAATAATCGAATCGTTGGGTCAGGAAATCGATACTGCATCGAATCGCCATGATGGATGTGATTTACACCCCTAATAGGGACCATAGGGTCATGTCCCTACCAAAATATTGGACCAACCTACTTGTCCCTACCAATAATTCAATGTGAATAACATGTTTATAATTTACATCTTTGCTGCAGCAGTGGCTTCTTTTCCTCTGGCAGCTTCACTGCCTGGTAGGTGCTGCTGCTCTGTCTGACTGCCTGCCTGCTCTTTTTCATATTTTTTGCATTGGACCAATGAAACTAAAGACCAATAGTGTCCCTACTAAAGTTGAAATCAAACCTACGCCCTTGTAGATGTTATATACAGGGTTCCTTAAAAAGTCTTAAAAGGCATTGAATTCTTCAAAATAAAACTAAAGCCTTAATTGGTATTAAAATGACTTAAATTAGTCTTTCGTAGGTCTTATTTTTTAAAACATCATTATAAGGATTATTTTTATTACGATTTATTTTTGTAATCTAAATAAAACATTAAAATTGAAAACTTTTTTTTTTTTTTTGTTGAAAAAAATTATTGGTTTCCTTCCCGATAGCGGAACCATTAAAAGCGTCGTTGTTGCGGCCGAGACATTTGGGAGATGCACCATTAACTTTTTGTCTGGAAAATATGAGCAAGTGTAAATGTAACCAAAATTGTCTCCAGCCAAGAGTTTTCTCCATGGCTAAAACCAGGGAACATACATGAGGCTCAGTGGATTTTGTGCGAGAAGTCATTCAAGCTCGGAACGATGGGAATTAAGGCAGTGGAGTCACATGCGAAGCATGAAACTTCTTAGTTTTGTTCCACCCTTGTCTCTGCAACGCCTCCACTTATCACCAAATCAAACATACTAAGAAAACGATACAAAGAAAAATAGCTGCAAAAAAGACTTAGCACTGGTTATGTTGTGGCTTTAAAACTGTTTTGTTTTGTTCC